GGCAAAGATGATGATGTTGAATCCAATGCTGTAGTTGACGGTGATGTAGTTATTGATGATGATGCTGATGTTACAGTGTTTATAGTTTTTTGATCTTTTATATTTTTATTATTTATACATTCTAATTTCTGAATATTCTTGACTATAATATATCTTTAATTAATAATTATGATAATATAATATAATAATTAAAAAAAGCATTAATAAATATATAATCACCCTGAGAGCACCAATCATTAATACTACTCATTTTTTTTTCCTCGAGAAAAAAATGTGGCGTGGATTTTAGTGGCGGAAATATTGACAACGAAAATTGATCGAAGGATTGAAAAAGGACGGGAAGGTGGATATGGATGTGGTTGAAGAAGAGATGGGTTGGTGGGTGGATAAAATAAAAATTCAAAGAAAAAAAGATTGTAAAGAAATTGCTTTTAAAAAATTAAAGTAAATAAATAATATTTGAAAAATTAAAAAAATAAAAATATTGCGTCTATATATATATATACATATTATATGTTATATATTTTATATATAAATATATTGTGTGTAATGAACGATAATTATAATAAACGAATTCTATTTATTGTAAGAATGAATGCACGCGTTAAATAAATCTCGGTTGAATTAAAATCTTAACAAGCCCTAACCAAATAAAGAAATCTAAACAATTTAAAGTTTTTTTTTGGAATTGAAAGGGTGGCGGCGCACCAAAGCATTATTATGTCACAAAAAAATTTCAGGGATTAATCTTAATATAGTAATAGAATAATCTATTTTGCTCTTTGGTCTTTACTTATAATTTGATTTGTTTTATTTAGGCTGATAAGCATTTAGACTTGCTTGGTTATTTCAAGCTTCTGCTTTTCTGATTCTTCATTTTGGGGGAATATTTTCCTTGTTCTCATTTGAATATTCTAATTACTGATTGATTGATTGCTTGTCCTCTTTTTTTCTTATAAATCATTCTTTTTTATTTTGTTTTAATTTAGTTTTTCTTATATAATTAATCAACCTAGAATCAGCAAACTTACGATCATGACAAATATTTAAATATTAAGCGTTCCCTTTTCTCTTGCTCTAATTCATTAAACTTGATTTTAATTAAACCAATTCTAATTTCTTCTACTTTTATTTATTTAACATTTTACATTTGATTTTGAAAGATTACAATTTTTGAGGCTCGGATATTATTATCATTTTAGTTTTGTCCTGTTAGTAAATCTGATCTCGATCTCTTAGGATGTGATGCAACGGAAGCCCGAATTTTATTGAAGTTGTATTTTGGGCTTTCTTTTTTTCAAAGAGCTTTACAAAAGCTTCCAACAACAATTCATCAAGAAAAATTACCCAGTCAAATGCTTAATAGTAATAGATTGTTGAGTGAATAAATTTGCTTATTTATTATTTTTTGAAGGTTTCTTCTACTAATTATTATTAATAATTTATACCATCACTAGATTCACAAACGTTGGTTTATGGCTTTGGTTATGAAGACAATTATTTTTTATCAACATTTTGAACCCTGAAATTACTTTGTGTCGCAATGTTAGAAGAAATAAAGAATATATATATTAATATAGAAAACTAGACAGATAAATAAATAAAACGAAATGAATGAATATTTTATTTGTTGCCAGTATAGAATGGTCTTGGACAAGTAATATTTCTGTATTCATCCCTTACAAATGGGCGAATACTGTTATAAAGGTATTCTTATCTTTTGTAATCCAAAGGAGGAGGTGTTAACACTAAAATAGATAAAGCTTTAATCTCTTCAAAAATTTCTGCTTTCTTGGTTTTCAATAAATTGAATTCAGTAAAAGATCCATTAGCAACTTCTTGAACTTTCACTGTACCAAAATTAGATGTTTCAAAAAGAAAATGTTGATATTTCTGAATGCTTGGTAATTTCTTAAAATAAATTCCTAAAATAGATTTGATATCCAAGTATTGAAAACCTTTTCCACCTTCATAACATTGAGCTTTATTTAATCCAGCTGGACTAGACTTTTTTA